GGTGGGGGTTTTCAATACACAAGAAGGGGGAGGGGAATGGACGAACAAGGCAGATGGGAGAACAGTTAGACAGGTTTGCATTGGGCTAAGTGGGACAGAGGTAAATGATGTATGCACAACCTTGGAACAACAGGGCTCCAGGATACAGGGATTGAGGCATGGTTTGAATGGGTAAAAGAGGGGAATAATTAAAATGCTTGGCTGTCTTTTGAATCTTGGTTTCCCTTGCCTACCATTGTAAAATAGACACTGGAGGGGGAGAGAAAGGAATAGCCAGAAACATTACAATAGAAAGCTTGTAAGTCCATCTTCAGCCTATAACTGATAGAAATACCTTAAAGGGGGCTAGCATAAGACCATAGTTGGAAACCAGAACCCCATCCAGAATTGTCTGAGGTGGGAAATTTCCACTTGAAAGGACAAGTGGACCAGCCTGGAGCAGCTAGAAGAACAAGATACTTCGTAAAAGAAAGATCGGCAGGAAAAATCAAAAACAGTTAACAGTAGTCTGATTGACAACTACAAGAACAAACAAGCTGTTTGCCCAGGAGCCATCAAGGCAACTGATCAGTTCCCCTCAGGACAAACCCCTTCCAAGACTAAGACTCAAGGGGAATACACAAGCAGGCATGTGGTATGGCTGGTGACCAGCAATGAAGTTGGGAGCTAAGTCCAACCACATTCAATAGAGTCTTGCGAACCTGGGTGGAAACCCGGTTGGCCAGCAGTGTGGCAAGACCCGGGGATTCCTGGGCCCAGAGGCAGTGACATGGCCACAGAAGACTAGAACGGAGAGTGAAGCATCCAACTGGTATGAAGTGAGGGGAGATGCACAAGAACACCCATACTTGTAGATAGTACCCACTTGACAGGGCTTCAATGGCTGGATGATCAGAACTCGACTAGAAGAAGAAAGAGGGGAAAAAAGAGTAACCCACTATAATTTGATGAACTTTACCTATACTTATGGATGTAGTAGCTCAAAAAAGGGAACAGATCTTTACAGTGAGGATCATTCCCACCCTATTGGCACACAGGGTTGACAGGGATGGGCAACTTAGACACTGGCTACCCAAAATGGGTGGGCTGTAAAGGAGCTCTGGTAGCGTAGTGGTTACAAATTGGGCTGCTAATCTCACAGTCAGCAGTTTGAAACTACCAGCTGTTCCGCAGGAGAAAGATGAGGCTTTTTGCTCCCATAAAGATTTACAGCCTCAGAAACTCTATGCAGGGTCGCTATAAGTCAGAATCGACTTCACGGCACATAACAACAACAACATAAAGGCAAGAAGTGACTGGCTTACAAGCTTTCAAGAGGGAGCCTAGTTCCAGACAGGGCAGGGGAAGATAGACTCTTCACTGATTGATTTCCAAACTGTTGGGACAGGGCTAATGAAAGGAGATGGGGATAAGACTCGTGCGGTACAATACTGAACAATTACTATCAGGACTGACTGTGAGGTTTTGTTACAAAACATCTACCTTTACATTTCCACATGGAAATGTAAAGGTAGATGTTTTATAACAAAAGGAGGGTAGTGACTGATTTTGCAATCCAGGAGTGGAGGTCCCTGGGACCATCAAGTGAGAAGAGCGGAGTGGGGACCCTACCCAGAGAAGCAGTGATGCCAGAAATGGAGGCAGAGACTGTGATGTGGAGAGACGGAGCAGCTGGGCACACTGGACTTAAGGAGGAAAAGGGGCTGTTTGCTGACCGCCACGGGGGCAGGCCTGTGGGGGTGTACCCTTTGGTTGTTTGATGATGCATGGAGGGGATTGTAATCATTACAATGAAATGAAACACGATAAGATGAATGTAAAACAAATGTGCTCCCATGTAAACCCACATAATTCACAATAAAAACTTTAAAAAAATTTTTTTCTAAGAAGCAGATGATTGTATCTTTATGGTTTTGCATCTTTAGTAGTTTCCACCTTATTGTTTTATGACGTGAACATGTGTGTCAGAGTAGAATTGTGATCCACAGGGGTTTTTTCAGTGTCTGATTTTTTTCAGAAGTAGATTGCCAGACCTTTCTTCCAAGGTACCTTTGGGTGTACTTGAACCACCAACCTTTTGGCTAGCAACTGAGTGTGTAATGGTTTGTGCTACACAGTGACTCAAAGGATAAAAATTCTTTACTCCTTTAAGGAGCCTGGTTACGTTCTCAAATCCTAACTGAACGGTTGGTGGTTTGGACTCACCAGTCGCTGCTCCACATGACAAAGATGTGGCAGTCTGCTAACAGATGAAAGCCTGGGAAACCCTTGGGGCCGTTTTCCTCTACCCTACAGAATCCTTGTAAGTCGATAATAGGTCCACTTGATTGTTGTTGTTGTTGTTATGTGCCATCGAGTCGGTTCCGACCCATAGCGACCCTGTATAGGGTTTCCGAGGGTGTAAATCTTTACGGGAGTAGAAAGCCTCATCTTTCTCCCGCGGTGCGGCTGGTAGTTTCGAACCGCTGACCTTAAGGTTCGCAGCCCAATTCGTAACCACTACGCTACCAGAGCTCCTTAGGTCCACTTGATAGCAACAGGTTTTGTTATGGTTTTTTGGTTTCGTTATCATAACCAAATATGTTGTTGTTGTTAAGTGCTGTAGAGTTGGTTCCAACCCATAGTGACCCTGTATAGGGTTTCCAAGCTTTTGAACTTCAGCTTTTGCGGTTCAAACCGATCTTGCAGTTTAGCTCATTAACCCACAGTGCCATACAGGACTCCTAACCAAATATAAATATATATAAATTCCATTTGTTCCAGGAGGGTTCTGGTTCTCTTTAAGGGAAATTCAGTGAGCTGTGTGACAGTGTCTTAAGAAACTGAAGAACACAGTTATGTGTTGTTGTTGTTTTTAATATTTAATATGGTTGACAAGCATTCTACTCAAAAGTTGCTTGCCATCCTTAAAAGAATACTTAAAAGATGATTTCTGATCCTGTCTTCTTTCAGGTAAGAGAAGGTGATTATTCTTCTTTAGACAAGGACGATATGCATGTGAAATCAGTACTCAGATTCAGCTTGGTAAATGCTGTCGTTGAGATGGAGACAAAGTGGGGTGGGGGCTGAGAGAAGAAGTAAGTTCACACTAAAAAGATGGAGGCATACAGGTCTGGATGGGATCTGGAGGAGGAGTAAGAGTTTTTCAAGGCTGCAGGTAGCTCCTGACAAAGGTGCAGAATGTGTTCAGGGAATGCATGGGGTTTCTGCGCTCTGTGCCAAGGACCCTGCATCTGAGGAGGGGGTGACCATGGATGATTCTATAAGGGCTGGTGGGGCCTGGCTGGCAGGCATTTGGGGGCTTCTCCTCTGTCCTCAGGTGGGAGTGCCTTTGAATAACCAGGAAGTGGAAGACATAGTGGTCTACCTCAGCTCTCTGGGGAAGTCCAACAACATTACAACGGATATCCTGGCCAACACCTACAAGCAGTGGTGCACTGCCCAGCAGAGGAAAAGCCTGCCAGTCACAAGGGATAGTATGTATGCTAACCCCCAACCCCTTCACCCCCTCTGACAATGCTCTTCAACTTGGATGAACTGTGTATGGGGTGGCCAAGCCTCTGGAATTAGGAGCACCTACAGAGACGTTCCAGGAAGATTTTCAAAGGGTGGTCTTGACCAACCAGAACCGACCAGATAGGTGGGAACTGACCCAGTGGGAACTGACCCACATTTAGCAAGCCTTTCCAGATGCATTCATTTGCATGTGGTCTAGGTATTATTGATCAAAAGTTAACTAAAACCTCTCATTCAGAACCAGTGTCTGGGTGGTAAAACTCAGCTGCTAACCGAAAGGGTAAAGGTTTGTGCCTACCCTCAGGCACGTTGGAAGCAAAGCCTAGAGATCCACTGCTGAAAATCAGTTCTTGAAAGCCCTCCAGGGTCCAGTTCTCCTTTGGCCCCACTGTAACTGGGAACTGGTGCTCTGCCTAGGGGCAGCTGAGTGTTTGAGGGCAGCAGCTATGGAGAAGGTGGGACCCTGTAGGGTGCTTTTTGTGGGCCTGTGGTGTTATCTCAGTTTCTCTTCCACGTGCTTTCCCAGATGACTGGAAGAGTGATCTCTCTATTGACCTCCTTTAGGAGCACTAGTGGTGCAGTGGTTGAGCACTCAGCTGCTAACCAACAGGTCTGTAGTTAGAACCTGCCCGCCGCTCCACGGGAGAAGGCTGTGACAGTCAGCTTCCATAAAGATGTACAACCATGGTAACCATCTGGGGACAGTTCTAATCTGTCCTATGGGACCACTAGGAGGTTTGTCATCTCTGTTTACTCTTCTTCCCCCGCTACCCTCTGAGGTCAGGGTTACTCTTTGCACTTTACCAAGGAAGACTCTGAAGCTCAAAGATTGAGTTAGTTGCCTATCAAGTCAAAACTAGAAGGCAGCAGGGCCAAAATGGGCTCTCCACTTGAATGGGATGGAAAGGCCTCTCGAGGCAGATGCTGGGTAAAGGGCATTCTGGGCACCTGTGGCCACAGTGGCACAGATATCCCAGGCAGTAGGGGTTCCAGTGGCTGCAGTGGAGGAGTGAGAGAAAGGTGCATGGCAGGAGATGGGGTCAGGTGGGGACAAGGAAGGAGTTTGGGGGTTAGTCTGAATGCCATGGGAAACCATTAGGGAGGTTTATGAAGGGCAGTGAGGTGCTTGTGCAGTTAAGCTCCTGTGGCCATCTGGTGGAAACGGGATGGTAGAGACTGAGGAGGCAGTGGGGGAGAGCAGGTGGCCTGGGTTAGGGAGGCTGTGGCAGGTCTGAATAGACACCCTGAGTGAATGAACACACGGGCAGGTGAGTTAACTTGAGAGGGAAGCCTAGCTCTGCATGACCAGCGGAGGTAAAGTGCTTGGCTAACTCAGGCTAAGTGCCCTTTGAGTTCTGCCTTCCTTTGTCTCTCTACTTCATCCCCAGGTGTCTGCTCAGCCAGAAGCAGCATCTTTCCAGAGAGTCCACTCAAGAAGCAAAAGAGAAGCTTGACCCTGCAGCCTCACAAGATGGATCTGCTGACAGTGCCTGAGGTCAACTTGCAGCAGGAAGCGCGGCCCATGACGCTGGAGGAGATGGAGGACGTGGGCAAGCGATACCGTGAGAGGAGGAGGCTGCACAAGGTACCCCGTAGCCGAAGGCAGGAGCGCGGGCTTGGCCAGACAGGCCCAGGTGCAAAATCCTATGCACCTCCTGCTGCAGGGGTCTCTGGGGAATTCTTTTTTAAAAGTTTGTATTGTGAACTGAGTTTACCTGGGAGAACATCGGCTTTATACTATCATTTCTTTGCAATGGTTACAATCTCCTCTGTACATCATCATTCAACAGTATTCGTTTCCATTCACTCTTGCTCTTTTGGGGAGTGGTGTGGGGAGATGTACACAAAAACACTCAGGAACACATAACCATTTAAACCACCAAAGGCCACATTTTGTAAGCCTGCCTCCTGGCCACCAGCACCCAGTCCCTCTCTTTACATGAGTCCAGAGTCCTCAGCTGCTCCCTGTCTCCAAGTCCTCATCTCTGCCTCCATCTCTGACATTGCTGCCTCTCTGAATAAGGTCACGCATTCTGCTTGTGCTCTTCTCCCTTGACGGTTCCAGGGGCCTTTGTTTCTGGACTGTAAGATTAACTGCTCCCCTGTTTTTGTTACAAAACTTCTACCTCTACAGTTGTGACAGTTAGTCATGATAACATTACTGAATTATAAGCATCTTATCCCCATCTCTTTTCACCAGATCCATCTAAACAAGATGAAAACTATTCAGTGAGGATTCTACCTTCCTGCACACACACTTAAACTAACTTCCCTCTTGAAAACTTGGAAGCCAGTCACTTCATGCCTTTATCACCCTCTCAGTTTAGATAGCCAATGTCTAAGTTGCCCATCCCTCTTTACCCTGTGTACAGAGGGGATAGCATTGATACTTGATGTGAAGACTCCTTCCCTCTCTGTTGGTATTTTGAGCTGCTACATCCATAAGTATAGGTCAAGTTCATCAAATTGTAGCAATTTACACTTGTTTCCTTTCTTAAAAAAAAAAAAAAAATTAAATCTTCCTTTGTTGTTGTTGTTGTCAGGTGCCATTGAGTTGGAACCGACTCATAGCGACCCCATGCACAGCAGAATGAAACAATGTCTGATCCTGGGCCAACCTCACTACCGCCGTCACACTTGATGTCATCAATGATGTCACCTGGCTGATCCATCTCGTTGGGGGTCTTCCTCTTTTTCTCTGACCCTCCACCTTACCTAGCATGACATCCTTCTCCAGCGACTGTTCTCTCCAGACAATGTGTCAAAGTATGAGAGATGAAGCTTAGCCATCTTGGCCTCCAAGGAGCACTCTGCTTGCACTTCTTCCAAAATAGATCTATTGGTTCTTTTGGCAGTCCATGGCACTTTCAGTATTCTCCTCCAACACCACAACTCAAAGGCATCAATTCTTCTATGATCTTCCTTATTCACTATCCAGCTTTAGTAGAGGTCAATTGGGCACCATCTGCAAGTTTGGGCTTTCTTGTGTGTCTCCCTTGACTTCATATCAGCTAGATGCTTAACTCTCAGCTCTAGCCCTCTGTGGCTATGTCCTTGTCCATAAGATCAGGTGTCCCCAGGTCTCACCACACTTCGGACCAACCAGCCCTTCCCCTTCTCTCTCTCATCTCCAGATCAATAGGAGTCATTGCTGCCTTTCCCCCTCTTCCACTCACCAGTAGAGCAATGTGGTCGCCCGCAAGCTTACATGCTTGCTCATGTGTTCTCTCTGGGAAATTCTTGACAACGACCCCCAAAACCCCCTATCCCTCAGCTGCATAAGAAGTAGAATTTCTGCTTCGCAGGTTTTTTGTGAACATTGAAATAAGACAACACTTCCAAAAGGATCAAGTCCCCCTTTCTCACTCTTAGTGTTTTGCATTTCAGACCAGGACTGATCTTCGTCAGAGCTAGAACCTGTCTGTGTGTGTGGCCTGAGGCCTGGCACTGAGCAGACACCCCCAGAAATGCATGGTGAAGGAACAGGGAAAGGATGGATTGGATGAATTAGTTCATCCAGGAAAGACTTATTGAGAGTGTGTGATATGCCAAGCACTCTTCTGAGGGCTGCAGTGAACCAAACAGTCCCGCTCTCAAGAAGAGGGGCAGGTGGTAATGAAATATACTGCCATATACAAATACATCCTAAACAGAAAGCCAGGGGGCTTCAGAAGTTTGCGGTTAATTCTGTTATCTTCTCAATCCATTTTCCCATAAAGTTTATGAAGCCCCCCAATACTACATACAAGTATGGAGCCTTTGGGTGGCACAGATGGTAAGTGTTGATTACTAACCAGAAGGTTGGCAATTCACACCCATCTCAGGACCTTAGGAGACAGTCCCGGAAATCTGCTTCTGAAAGGTCACAGCGTTGAAAACCCTGCAAAGCAGTTCTATTCTGCACATACAGGGTCACTATAAGCTGGAACCAACTCAACTGCACTTAACAACAACAACAGTTATACTTATGATACATTTGTATATAAACCCAGTCTGGTTGTTGAGTTGGTTCCGACCCATAGTGACCCTGTGTAGGGTTTCTGAGGATGTTCCTTACATGTTTCTCTTTGTTTCAGCTGATGAGCTTGAACCATCGACCTTGCAGTCCAAACCGACTTTTCAGTCCAGCGCACTAACCCACAGTGCCACACAAAACAAACACAAAAACAACAGTTGCAAAGGGACTGATTCTGACTCACGGTGACCTCATATGTCTCAGAGTAAAACTGTGCTTCGTAGGGTTTTATATGGTAAATGTATATCTATACATTCAGTGGTTACGAATCGGGCTGCTAACCTCACGGTCAGTAGTTCGAAACAGCCAGCTGTTCTGTGGGAAAAAAAGATGAGGCTTTCTGCTCCCATAAAGATTTAAAGCCCTGAAAACCCTGTACAGGGTTTCTATGAGTCTCAACCGAATCCATGGCACATAACAACAACAATATACATATAATGTGAAGTCCTGGTGTAGTGCTGTAGGGTAATGCGTCAGACTACAAAGTCATTTGAACTGCATGGTCAGTGGTTCAAGCTCACCAGCTGTACCTTGGAAACCCTCCCTCTACGGGGTCGCTATGCATTGGAATCAACTCTATGGCACTTAAAAATAACAATCTCCACTGAGTAGTATTCAATCTGTCTGGCCGGGGCTGATGAAAGGAGATGCGGATAGGTCTCCTGTGACATAATAGTGAATAACTGTTATCAGGACTGATTGTGAGGGTTGGATATGTAAAGGTAGATGTTCTGTAGCAAGGAGGGGAGTGATTAACTTTGCAGTCTAGGAGCGGAGGTCCCTAGGACCATCAACGGAGAAGAGCAGAGAGCGAGACCCTACCCAGAGAAGCAGTGATGCCTGAGATGGAGGCAGAGAGGATGACGTGGAGAGATGGAGCAGCTGAGGACTTTAGACCCAGAGAGAGAGAGGGGCTGTGTGCTGACAACTGGGGGGAGGGTGGAGGAGGGCAGGCTTGCAGGGTATACCCTTTGGTTGGTTGATGATGCATGGAGGGGATTGTAACCATGGCAATGAAATGATATATGATAGGATGAATGTAAAACTAATGTTCTCCCATGTAAACTATCACATAATTCACAATAAAACATTAAAAAAAAAAAACCACAACAATATGTACAATGCACATTATAAGATGTCAGGTATTGTAAGCATTCTGTCAATTAAGATTTGACTCAGTTCCATGCCAAGAAAGCACAAAATGTTACAGCAGGGGTTGGCCTATGGGGCTCTACTTTGCTGACTCTTGTATTCAAAGCTTACATGTCTCTCTTTGTAAAAAGTAAAAAAGGCCACAGTGGGGAACCAGCCCCCAGACCACTTTGACCTTGCTCTGCAGTCTTAGCAGGTGGCTTCCCCTCAAGGTTGAAGGGGGCTGCAAGCAGTCAAACTCTGGAAGCCTCCCTCCAGGCATCTGGATGACTGTGTCATATAGTTATCAAAGGGTGGGACCCACTCCCAGGGTCACGTGCACTGCCGCTTCAGAGCTATGCTGGGCAACCTTGGCCGTGGATGACTTCCTGGGTCCCTGACCTTAGACTTTAGCCACACCTGGAACTCTTTGCCACTGAGCTTATGGGTCTTTTTTTTTTTAAATAAGTTTTTATTGTGAATTGAGTGAAAGTTTACAGGGCGGATCATCAGTTTTACATTCAACAAATCGTATACTTTGTTTCATTACAATGATTATAATTCCAACCATGTACCATCAGTTAACAGTATTTTTCTCTATTCATTTTATCTCTTTTTTAAACACGCAGGCATATATAATAATTTACACCACCAAAGGGCGCATTCTGCAAGTCTGCCTTCTGGCCTCCAGCTCAGACCCTCTCTTTCCATGAGTCTAGAGTCCTCAGCTGTCCTCCATGTACCCAACTCTGCCTCCATCTCTGGTGTCGCTATTTCTCTGGATAGGGTCCCACATTCCACTTGTGCTCATCTTCCTTGATGGTCCTAGGGTCCTCTGTTTCTGGACTGTAAGATTATAAACTCCTCCCCTGTGTTTGTTACAAAACTTCGATCTTTACAATTGTGACAGTTGTGATTAGTCAGCCCTACGGCTCTTGTGGGCAAAGAAGATGCCCCTGCCTTCCAGCCAGATGCAGAAAGGTGGGAAGAAGAGTGTGTCTCCCTGTTTCTCTTTGCAGCTCTCCATCCCCTCCCTCCAATACGCAGAGCAATGCCGCCTGGTGCGCAGCGGGAACAAGCACTTTGATGAGCACTGTCTCCCATCCACCATCCAGGGTAACATGGGGGAGATGGTCAACAAGTTCCGCAGGGACAACTTTCTGACCTACCTGCAGTGCTGGAAGTTCTGTAAGTCCCATGGCCTCCCAGTGATGGAAGACACCCTCATGAAAGGTAAGGACTCTGGAGCTGTCTGTAGGAAGACGTCCAGAGGTGCCCAGAGCACAATAGGACTGGTTCTTTGCCAACTAAGGCCCTGGAGGCTGACATTGAAGGCAGTGAAGGAGGAATGGAGGAACACAGGGTTTCTAGAACACCAGGTTGGGAGGTCTGGATTCTGGAGCCCTGAGCTTGTTGAGCTGAGATTTAGAGCAGGAAGCTCCATGGATAGTCAATCTTGTGAGGGAAGATTGAAAAAGAGTAATTCCAATTTCAAAGAGGAAGGTTTGGCAGAGTGATAATGGCCAGGATGTAGCCTAGGTGCAAATGCTGTAAATAGGAACTGCTATGGCTGCTGATTGAAATGTTGGTAGCACCTTGGAAGAAAGGCTTGGTGATCCCGTTTAGAAGATGCAGTCACTGAAAATCCAGTGGAGCACAGTTCTGCTCTGATACGCAGTCAGTGTTAAGATGCATTGCGCATTTCCAAAGCCATGTCTCAAGGTCAGGCCTGCTTCCCAGTTCTTCCAGGAACAATGAGATAGGAAGGTGGGAAACCAGAAGATCTGTCCACTGAGACCCTTGCTCTGTGCCTAAACACTAGAGCACATCTTTGGGTAGAGTGGGGGGTGGGAGTACCTTCCCTCTTGTGCTAACACCTGTGGCCTCCACTGAATTTAACGGGCATCGCCTTCTTTGGACTTTGAAAACACTGAAGAGCACACTGTACTCTGGGCAGAGGTTTTCCTGCAGGAACAGGGCAAGAAGGGACTGTGGCCATCCCGGGACATGTGGCTTTCTGAAAAAGGGTTAAGGCTCCTGGCGGGGAAGGGAAATAAGACCTCCATGTACAGGGCCTTAGGTTTATAAAGGGGTTTAATGTGGCAGGGACTTCAGGTATACAGGGGAACCACCCTGCCAGTCACTGTCACCTGTAAGCACAGTGCACCCTTCCTCTGGCAGGCAGCCCCCAGTTGGCATCTCTCTGAACACTGAGTGGGAAGGTCATCTCATGACTCTGGCTTTTCCCAGATTGTCTTTCCTTCCTCTCTCCTCAGCCTCATCTTCCCTACTACTTACACCACCTGGCTTGGGCTGTGCCTACCCTGGACTGCTTCTCTGGCCAGCTTTTCTTCTAGATTGCCCCCTCTGAACCCTCCAGAGCACTGGGCCACTGCTGAGTCTCTGGAAGGCTGGCTTCTGCTAACTCCAGAGTCCCTAGGTTGGGGAACCTCAGCTGTCTTTATGATCTGCCTTTCAGACCCCGTGGGGGCATCTTTCAGCTTGGTTGGTCCCTAACCACTGTTTTGCCATGATTTCTGACATGGTTCCTGACGTTCAAGGAGCTTCTAATACTATGGTTTCCAGGTGTGGGTTTTACCCCGGAGCTTGTGAGGCCCAGACAACAAGCCTCAAGCTCATGGGCCGGGATTCTAGAACACTGAGGTGGTACCCTGCCCCCCAATGAATATAGACTGATTGCTGCTTCTTTGACTTTTTAAATATAGGTAATATTTGCTCATTTTAAACTTTTGAAAGCATGAAGATGAAAATCCCCCCCACCCTAATTAACATCATTGATACTTTGGTGGCCATTTATTTACCTTAGTGTTGCTATAATGAACAAAATATACTGCAGGTGGTAGCCTGCAAACACACGGTTCTGTGCTTCCTTCCCGGGGTCTTGCTTGGTTTCCCATGGAAGCTACTCTCCCCTGCTTTTGATGCATCTAGATTTGCTTCTTCTGGTTTCTCCCTGTGTGTGGCTTTCTATGCTTGGATCCCTGGTAGTGTAGTGGTTACGAGTCGGGCTGTGAACCTTAAGGTTTGAAACTACCAGCAGTTTGATACTACCAGCTGTTCCACAGGAGAAACATGACGCTTTCTGCTCTCGTAAAGATTTACAGCCTCAGAAACCCTGTACAGGGTCGCTATGGGTCGGAACTGATTTGACGGCACTTAACAATAACAACATCCCCCTTTATAAGGTCCCACCCCTCTCCAGTATGGCCTGATGACTGTGACTCACCTGATTGGACTCACAGGTACAGGGATTAGGACTTAGACTTAACTTTAGGGGCACAATTCAATCCCCAAAACCTCCTCTTTCTTTTATATGTATAGAATGTTAAGTAAATGGAATCACTTCACAAGCATACCTTTAAAAATCATGTACATTAAAAAATAAAACCACGTATACGTTTTCAAAAATGTCGTATACGTTTTCAAAAATGTCGATGTTGCATGTCTTGCCCTTCCTTCCCTCCTCTTACTGCACAGTCCCTCTCATACCTCAGCTAACCGGTCTGAACAATCTGGAGTGTAACCTACTATGGCTGCATCTAGGACATGAGACTGTCATGTGTTCACATCTGAAGATAAGCATTGCCAAATAATTGCAGGAAGGTGGGGACTCTGGGATTTTTTGTATCCGCATTTCTGAGAAAAATCTCTGACACCAACTCAAGACAGAGGAGACTGCCATCTAGCAAGTCTGAGTTTCCATAGTGACCCTCAGCTGACTCCTCCTGGGAGCCCTGGCCAGGGTCCCTGCAGTGCTGTGTCCTCATGACAGTGGTGGCCTTTGCCCCTGGTTACCTGCATGCCTCCCTCACCTGCCCTCCTGTGGACTGAATGGGTTGCGGGCTTTGCTATTTTATATCCTTTCCTCATAGAAATACCACAAGGGAGTGGTTTTAAAGAACAGAGTTTACCTTCTCACAGTTCTTCAGGCGAGAAGTCCAAATTCAGGTGTCAACAGGACGAGGCTCTGTGCACTCTCTGTGGTCCTTAAGGGAAGATCCTTCTCTGTCAGCTTCTGTAGCTCCTGGCTTGTAGATGAGTGATTCCTGGGAGTCTCTCTGTGGGTCTATACTTAGCATTCAGAGGGATCCTGTCTGGACCCAGCCTTCTCCAGTATGCCCTATTAACATAGCAAAGAAAACTCTGTTTCTAAACAGGGTTGAATTCATAGATACAGGGCTCAGTACTTCACCTGTATTTTGGGGGAGACACACCAATCATTCATAACTGCAGTGGGATGGATAACTTTTAAATGGCCTTTCTTGCCATAGCATTGTAACCTCCCACCAAATGATTGAGTGGAACTATACAAATAAGGTGCTTGTGGCCCACCAAAATGATTGGGCAGCTTGCTAATAATGCAAATAAGGTGCATGGCACTTTTGCAGTGATTGTTGTTGTTTTTGAATGTGAAGTCGGTTCTGATTCACAGGGACCCTGTCTAGGGTTTCTGAGGGTTTTAAAATCTTTGCAGGAATAGAAAGCCTTATCTTTCTCCTGTGGGTTGGCAAGTGGGATCGAACTGTTGACCTTGTGGTTTGCAGTCTGTACTTATCCTACAGAGCCACCATGCTCCCCCTTTTAGGAGTTGTTGTTGTTGTTAAGTGTCCTTAAGTTGGTTCTGATTCATAGCAACCCTGTGTAGGGTTTCTGAGAAGTGGGTTTGAACAACTGGCCAGGTGGTTTGCAGTCTAGTACTGAACCCTAACTAGAGAATTGGCCAATTTTGCCATGCTGCTAGGTTTAAAATTGAGCTATCCCAGAGCCCTAAAAGGAGACCTCATTACCACCAAGAAAGAAGAGCTAGGTCCGGGCTGCTACTACCAAGCACCTCCTAGACTTAGGAGACAGGGAAAGAGACGTGGAACACCCCGGGTGTCAGCAGAGGCCGCAGAACCGCAGAACAACAAGAACCAGAATCTTGGCAGGAGATGACTAGGTGGACTTCCTAGCCCTCGGAGTGAGAAAAGCTGAGTGCCTTTGGGCAAGACGCTTGCTGGAGGAGTAGGGTGCCTCTGAGCACCTTCAGGCTGTGGAGTGCGGTTATCAAAGGTGATACAGAGCTTTGAAACATTTGCCTGAGCAGGGCAGAGGCTAGTCCTGAGAAAGGAAATGAGAGAGCTGCCATGCATCGAAGAAGGAAGACTGCCTATGTGTTGCCTGAGGTCCAAGAGGTGTGAGGGGCTGAAAAGCCTGCCAATAGGCGTGGCCGGGAGCTGTCCTGACCGAAGGACTATATCCTGAGTTGTTCCTGATTCTCAATTGTAACCTATTGCTCCCTTAATAAGGAGCTCTGGTAGCGTAGTGGTTACGAATCAGACTGCGAACCTCAAGGTCACAGTTTGAAACTACCAGCTGCTCCGCAGGAGAAAGATGAGGCATTCTGCTCCCGTAAAGATTAACAGCCTCAGAAACTCTGTGCAGGGTCACTATGAGTCGGAACCGAGTCCACTGCACATAACAACAACAACAACTCCCTTAATAGGACTCCTGGTGTGGTGCTGTAGGACCAGCCCAGGACTTTGAACCACATGATAGGCAGTTCAAACCCACCAGTTGCTCCTCAAAAATCCTATACAGTGTTGCTACGAGTTGGAACCAACAGGACGGCACTTAGCAACAACCACAATACCCTTAATAGGGAGCATGGTGGCTCCATGCAGTAAGCATTGGACAGTAACTACAAGGTCGGCGGTTCAAGCTCACCGACTGCTCCATGGGAGACCGAGGACACTTTCTGCTCCCACAAAGTTGTAAAGCCTTGGAAGCCCTATAAGGGGTTGTTTTAAGTCTGCACCAGCTTGGCAGCACTTAACAACAACAGCTGCTTTAATAAATCCCATAATCATGAATATTACCTGTGAGTTCTGTGTGTCCAGTGCAATGAATTATGGGACCCAGCAGAGAAGTAAGAATGCCGTGGGAGAGTGTTAGAATTGGTGAAAAGGGTGGAGGCTGGAGGTCTTTCTGACCTCAGCTTAATAGGAAGCCGCCTTGGGCTGTTGATGGTGATCCTTTCTCCCCCTCCCCGTTGCGAGAAGAGATCAGACGTCTCTGCCTGTCACTTCCACGGTAATGTCCATGATGTCCCACTGTGGGAAATACAAGTTATTCTTTATACTGTCTTGGCAGCTTTTTGGGAATCTATGATGATTGAAAAATAAAAAAGTGTTAAAAATACATATAAGAAAAAAAAAATACTTGAAAATAAAAATGTGATTTTTATTAAACAAACCAAAAAAATCCATCCTTGATCCCTGAAGAGGAGACTCTGAGTGGTGTAAGCGGTTTGTACAATCGTCTGCTAACCCAAAGGTTGGAAGTTTACACCTACCCACGGGTGCCCTGCAGGAAAGGCCTGGCTATCTCCTTCTGAAAAATCAGCCATTGAATATCCCTATGGGAAGCACCACATGGGATTTGGTTTCCTGGTGGAGGTTTAGGGTCATAGTTTCATGGGAATTCCCAATTAATTGGCTGAATATCATGTTTAGTGCTTCTGTTCTACCTCCTAGTTTGTTACCCAGTGCCTGGGGATCTTACAAGTCCACAAGTGGTCATCCAAGGTACAACAATTGATCTTTAGTCACCTGGCACGCAGAGAGAGATGTAGTTAGGAACAGAAAACAGATATGGACGAGACTAACTGTCTCCATGAACAACTGCCTCCTTTGCCAGGAGCCCAGGTGCCCAGCTGCCAGTACTGAACATTTTGATCAAAGATTCCATAGAAGAATCCTGATCAAAAAGGAAGAAAATGCAGAACAGAACCTTAAATTTTGATGGGCTCCTGACTTCCTGGAGCCATAAAGCCCTGAGACCATCTTTAAAACTTAAACCAAAAATATCCTCTGAAGTCTTCTTTAACCCAGTGGTGGTGGTGATGGTGGTTTGCCGTCGAGTCGGTTCCGACTCATAGCAGCCCTAGAGAGGGTTTCCGAGGCTGTAAATCTTTACAGGAGCAGAAAGCCTCATTTTTCTCTGGAAGAGCAGCTGGTAGATTCCAACCCTGTCTAACCCACTTCTACACTGCCAGGACTCCTTAAACCAAACAATTGTTTCTAATTGTTAATTAGAAACAGTGTTTGCCTTGAGCTGTGTGCTCTTTAAAGAACTTCCTGTCTGACAATAGCAACTTGAAAGATTGGATAGGAAATTTAGAGGGCAGTGGGCTTGTGTTAAGGAGCCCTGGTGGCCTATAGGATAAGCACTGGACTGCTAACTGAAAGGTTGATAGTTCAAACCCACCAGTTGCTCTGAGGGAGAAAGATGAGCCTTTCTGCTCCTGTAAGGATTCACAGCCTCAAAAACTAACCCATGAGTCAGAATCGACTTGGTGGCAGTGGGCTTTTTGGAGGTTTATGTTACTGGGGGAGGAAAAGTCAGAAGAAGAGGGCGAGAATGCTTGCACATTGGAAGTTTGTAAACAATATTTGTACTTGCAGAAAGTGTTGACTTGATGTATATTCTGTGTATAGTCTCAACAACAAATTTTTAAAAAGAAAGAAAACCTGTGGAGCACAATTCTGTGACACGCACGGGGTCACCTGTCAGAGTTGATTCGATGACAGCTGGTTAACTCAGAAAGGCAGAAACCCCTGGTCTCAGGGAGGCGGAGCAGGGGAAAAGAGGTCTGGGGCTAATGGCTTGTGTTTCTCTTGCTGCTGACAGCCTTGCTGTACCCAGGAGATAAGATCATTTTCCTGGAAGACCAGGTGCGCCCGATCCGTCAGCCAGGAGGCTACTACTCGGACGTCAAGCTCTTCCCTCCGAGCCAGTCTCCGCTCAGGTCCCAGAAGGCTAGCGTGGCTATGAAGACTGACAAGCTGAGTCTCAGCCCCCATCTTCTCATCATCTGCCTCCTGCCCCCTCACTGCCCCTTCAGCCCCTGGGCTTGGCACCTGACACACTCAGACTCACTAGTCAGCCCACCCTTGGCACCTTTCTCCAGCACAGGGCCTCCGCACCTCAGCACCTGGTCGATCTAGATAACCTCTAGGTCTTTGGATAAGAAGAAAAGGAAAATGAAAAAGAAAATCTTTTTTAGGGAAATAGGGATGCCCCTCTGCAAATCCTGGCTCCTGCGCTAGGTGCCAACAACAACACAGGGTTCCTAAGACTGTAAATCTTGATGGGATCAGACAGCCTCATCTTTCTCACTCGGAGCAGCTGGTGGGTTTGAACTGCAGACCTTGTAGTTAGTCAGATTCCTAACCCACAGCGCCGGGTAGCTGGGTCATGAGTCATGGATCCAGGAAGTGGGTGGGAGCCTGGGAAAGGGATTTTTGTTCACATTTGAGGAAACCATCAAACTCATTGCCATCAAGTTGATTCCAATTCAAAGCCACCCTGTGGACTCATGGAGGCCCTGGTGGCACAGTGGTTAAAGTGCTCAGCTGCTAACTGAAATGTCGGCCAATTAGAGCTCATCAGTCGCTCTGCGAGAGAAAGATGTGGTAGCCGGCTTCCGTGGAGATTGTTAAGTGCCATCGAGTTGGTTCCGACCCCAGTATAGGATTTCCGAGGAGTGGCTTGGTGGGTTTGAAGCACCAACTTTGTGGCTAGTAGTCCTGTGTTTATCCTACAGCACCACACCTGGCCTCCTCTATAACGATTGTTGTTATTGTTAAGTGTTGTCAAGTCGGTTCTGACTCATAGTGACCCTGTATAGGGTTTCCAAGGAGCAGCTGGTGGGTTTGAACTGCTGGTCTTGTGGTTAATAGTCAGTGCTCATCCTATAGAGCCATAGCAACCTACGAAACCCCAGGGGGCAGTTCTACCCTGTCCTGAGGTTACCTTGATCATCACAGACCACAGCTATATAAGTTGTAAAAGACAGAGAGCAGTCCCCTAAGGCAGGGGTGGACACTGGTTCTGTTTGGCTCCTTAGAATGAATTGGACTGGTTCTGAGGCTAGGTGCACGCTGGGTAGGGAAGACAGCGTGCACTTCACTGATAGATCCGTGAAGTCTGCCAGGCCCAAGGTTTTTGTTGTCAAACTTGTCCTCTGGCAGAAGTGGGAGTCAGAAGCCCCCAATAATTACATTATTAATTAATTATTCTTTATTAAGCATCTCTCCAAATGGCCCCAGGATCTCCCCATTCTAGGGAATGAGGAAACCCAGGCTCGAAAAGTAATTTGACTTGTTCAGAGTCACCCAACAAACAAGCCAGGATGATACTGGGTTCTTATGGGCAGGGGAGACAGAACCAACTCGACAGCACTTAACAACAACAACAACAACATAGGTAGCCCAAGTGTACTGTGCAACCCTCTGGAACATGGGGGACAGTCAGGGTCTGCGCCCTGCTGGCAGAAGTCCCTTCCAGCTAGGGCTTTGCAAACCTGACTCTCTTGTCTCTTGTCGTCTCTAGGAAAGTACCAAAGAAAATCAAGAAAGTTTGCTTCAAGGAGTTTGAGGCGCTCACCAGGTCTGTAGTAATCTTCTGACTTGGAAAGCAGGGAGGGCAGTTTGGAGGGCTGGCCTGGTCTTGGAGGAGGGGCCTGGGCCTCTCACTGGGGAAGCTGGTACAAGACTCCCAACAGGAGGGAGCTCAAGGCACAAATGGGGTTGATGTCCCATACACCTGAAGAAGGCTCCATATGGTCAGAGGGCTAAGCCCAAGAGTCCAGAAGTCTGGATTTGATGCCTGGTTCACCCATTGCCTTGTTGGATGACCTTTGTCAAAGCTTTTCTCTTTGGGCCTCAGCTTCCTTTGCTGTCAGATGGGTACATGTATGTATACTTCACAAGGCTGTCACTAGGGTTCAATGACAGCATGTGAGTTGCAGACTCTTCCCTTTAGACAACAGTGACCTCTTCAGGCCTGAGTTCCTCACTGGGCTGGTCCAGGATGGTCCAGGAAAACAGAACCCACCTCACCGCACTGTTATGAGACCTGTGATTGTAAATCACCTAACACAGGGCTACATTTCCACTTGGGTCACAAGCGACTTGCTCCTCGGAGAAGGTGTCTGTCCTGTCCCGACATGCTGGGTTTTTTTGTGTCTCCATTTTCCAGGAAACTGAAAGCAAAGAGGTCCAGTGGTCAGCAACTAACCCACCCCAACAACTTCTGGCCGGGCCACCTCCTGGACAAGCTCTACCTGCCCACCATGGTTACAGACCGGAGCCAGGCACTCTTCAGCCATGTCCAATGCCAGTCCCCTGCCTACTCAGCCAACTACCACCCCAACTGCTGGTGGCCCATAAAGAACATGAACTATGTTACTTATGCCTACTATGATGCCTCCAAGGTCTACCACATTAACTAGAGAGGCCCAGGGCTTGCTGTAGCCCAGACATCCCGTGGCCAGGGGCCAGTGCAGCTAGTAACACAGAGCCTCAGACACGGGAGTGCCCAAGAGCCCTGCAAAATCAAATAATTTCAGTGTGACAATCCCGAAGGCCAGCTCCTTCCAGACCCAAACTGCCCTCTGTCTCGTCTCAGAGAGGGGAGGTTTTCAGGGTTTTCCTCCCCTGTCCTCTGCCCTTTGGAAATAAACCCACGTGGAGTTTTTCATGCCACCTATGACTCAGAAGAATGATTCCCTGCTCCGGAGCTATGAGCAGAGTGGTGCTTGGAAAGCTGGGTCTTGAGCCTGGGGGAACGCGGCAGGCTGGATGTGTTTGCTCCAGCCTCTCATCCTGAGTCCTCGGTGCCCGTAGGGAGGCAGCAGACAGTGTGGGTGCCCCTGTGCTCTCCTTTGTGAAATATGGCGGCAGCATGCCTCTTACCCCTATAGACTATGTCACTTGAGTTACTGCTTCCAAATCTCTTGAGTCTTTGGAAACTGGAGGTGTGCTCTGTGGTGTATGACTTTTCCCCTGGTGAAACTTCCTGACCCCATCAAGACCTTTTCCTTCTACACATGTAGGCTGCCTTTAGTAACCTGCTTCTATGTTCTGCCTCCAACCTGACTTCCCACATACCATAAGATAAGCAGGATTCATGAGACAACGGTGTGTCCCCAGATAGGCGCAATGGTGCTGTCATTCTTGCCTTCCATGCCATAGGTCCAGGCTCGATTCCTGGCCTTAGGCATAGCCACTTACCGTCAGTGATGCTGATCAATTGCGTGATGCTGTGATGCTGAGCAGGTTTCACTGGAGTTTCCAAAACCAAGATGGGCTAGTAATGTAATCTACTTCCCTGTGGATTCCAAGGGCAACCCACATCCGATCATTGCTAGATGTGTGAGTTGTGGTTGTTAGGAGCCGACGAGACAGTTGTGACTCAGTGATCCCATACACAACAGACTGAAACACTGTTCCTCACAATCAGTGGAACGCTTCAGACCATTGCTGCTGCCACTGTGCCAATCCACCTCACTGGGAATCTTTTTTCTTGCTGACCCTCTACTTTACCAAGTATGATGTCCTTCTCCAGGGACTGGTCACCCCTAGTAACATGTCTGAAGTATGAGAGATGAAGACTCTCCATCCTGACTTCTAAGAAGCAATCTGGCTGTACTTCTTCCAACACAGATGGGTTTGTTCTCCTTATTCACTGTCCAACTTGCATATGAGGTTACTGAAAACACTATGATTTGAGTAAGGTGCACCTTAGTCTTCAATCTGACATCTCTATTCTTGAACACTTTAAAGAGGTCTTGTGCAGCAGATTGGCCTAATACAATATGTCATGTGATTTCTTGACTGCTGCTTTCATGAGTGTTGATAGTGGACTCAAGAATGGTGAACTCTATGACAACTTCAGTCTTTTCTCCATTTATCTTGATGTTATTAATTGGTCCAGTGGTGAGGATTTTTGTTTTCTTTACATTGAGGTGCAGCTCATACTGTGAAGGCTGTGGTTTTTGATCTTCATCAGTAAGTATTTTAAGTCCTCTTTGCTTTCAGCAAGCAAGGTTATGTCATCTGCATATCATAGGTTGTTATGAGTCTTCCTCCAGTACTGGTGCCATGTTCTTTTTTATATAACCCAGCTTCTCAGATTATTTGCTCAGCGTCATGACTGAATAACTATGGTGAAAAAGTATAACTCTGGTGCACACTTTTCCTGATTTTAAACCATTCAGTGTCTCCTTATTCTCTTTGAATGAATGCCTCTTGATCTATGTACAGGTGTCTCAAGAACACAATTAAGTGTTCTGGAATACCCATTCTTTACAATGTTATCCACAGCTTGTTGTGATCCACACAGTTGAAAGCCTTTGCATAGTCAATAAAGCACAGGTGAACATCTCTCTGGTGTTCTCTGCTTTTAATCAAGATCCATCGGATGTCAGCAATGATAGCCCTCATTCCACATTTTCATCTGAATCCAGCTTGAATCTCTGGCAGTTCCCTGTTAGTGTGTGATTAAAACAGTTTTTTAATTACCTTTAGCAAAAATTTACTTGCATGCGATATTAATGATATTATCTGATGATTTCTGCATTCTATTGGTCATTTCTTTGGAATGGGCACAAACATGGATCTCCTCCAATCAGTTGGCCAGGCAGCTGTCTTCCAAATTTAGCATAGATGAATGCCTCCAGTGCTGCATTAATTTGTTGAAAGATTTCAATTTGTATTCCATCAATTCCTGGTGTCTTGTTCTTTGCCAATGTATTCAGTGCACCTTGGACATCTTCCTTTAGTACCTTTGGCTCTTGATCATATGCTGCCTCTTGAAATGGTTGAACATCAACCATTTTTTTGTTTTTCTGGTATTGTGACAATATTCCTTCCATCTTCTTTTGATGCTTTTTGCATCATTCAGTATTTTTTCCCCCAAAAAATCCTTCAATATTTCAAGTTGAGGCTTGAATTTTTTCTTCAGTTCTTTGGCTTGAGAAATGCTGAGGATGTTCTTCCCTTTTGGCTTTCTAACTCCAGGTCTTTGCACATTTCATTTTAGTATTTGACTTTGTCTACTCGAGCTGCCCTTTACATTTTTCTCTTCAGTTCTTTTACCTCCTCATTTCTTCCATGTGAGTTAGCGTCCTTGTGCTTTACAGCAAGTTTCAGAGTCTCTTCTGACATCCATTTTGGTCTTTTCCTTTTTTCTTATCTTCTTAGTGACCTTTTGTTTTTTTCCTGTATGATGTTCTTGATGTCATCCCACAACTGTTTTATTTATTTATTTAATGTTTTATTTGTGAATTATGTGATAGTTTACATGGGAGAACATTAGTTTTACATTCATCCTATCATATATTTTTTCATTGCCATGGTTACAATCTTCTCCATGCATTATCAAGCAGCCAAATGGTATACACTACAAGCCTGCCCTCCGGTTGTCAGCACACAGCCTCTCTCCCTCTCTGAGTCTAAAGTCCCCAGCCGCTCCATCTCTCCACGTCATCGTCTCTGCCTCCATCTCAGGCATCACTGCTTCTCTGGGTAGAGTCCTGCTCTCTGCTCTTCTCCCTTGATGGTCCTAGGGACCTCTGCTCCTAGACTGAAAAGTTAACCACTCCCTTCCTTGCTATAAAACATCTACCTTTACATTTCCAGCCCTCGCAATCAATCCTGATAACAATTATTCACTATTGTATCACAAGAGACCCATCCGCATTTCATTTAATTAGCCCTGCCTAGACAGATTGGACACTACTCAGTGGATATTCTACATTCCTCCATGCCCTGTGGATCTAGGTTCCCTCTTGAAAGCTTGTAAACCAGTCACTTTTTGCCTTTGTAGTCCCCTCCTCCCCCCATTTTGGATAGCCAATGTCCAAATTGCCTATCCCTGTCTACTCTTTGTATGGAGGGGGTGGGAATGATCCTTGCTGTAAAGATTTGTTCCCTCTTTTGAGCTACTGCACCCGTAGGTGTAGGTCAAGTTCATCAAATTGTATCAGATTACTCTTTTTTCCCTCTTCTTTCTTCTTCTAGTTGAGCTCTGATCATCCAGTCATTGAAGCCAGGTCAAGTGGGTATTATCTGCAAGTGTGGGTGTTCTTATGCATATACCCTCTCTTCTTATCAGCTGGACATTTCACTCTCCAATCTAGTCCTCTGTGACTATGTCACTGACTCTGGGCCCAAGAGTCTCCAGGTCTTGCCACCCTTCTGGCCAACCAGGTCTCCACCCGGGTTCACAGGAGTCTATTGAACATTGTAGGGCTGACTTAGCTTGCAGCTTCATTGCTGTTTTTCCCTCATTTCCCCTTATCGGTGACGAATGTGGTCACCAATCAGTACGATCCCACAACTCTTCTGCTCGTCTGGTCTTCAGTCATTAGTTAGTGTTCTTGAGATGATCTCCAAATTCAGGTGGGATGTGTTCAAGGTTGGCTCTGTTGTTGTTGTTATGTGCCATCGAGTTGGTTCCGACCCATAGCAACCCTGTATAGGGTTTCCGAGGGTGTAAATCTTTACGGGAGTAGAAAGCCTCATCTTTCTCCCGCGGTGCAGCTGGTAGTTTCGAACCACTGACCTTAAGGTTCACACCCCGATTCGTAACCACTACGCTACCAGAGCTCCTTAAGGTTGGCTCTAGTGGACTTGTTTTAATTTTCTTCATCTCCAGCCTGAACTTGCTTTATGAGCAGTCTTGCCCGGCTTTGTTTTGGCTGATGGTATGGAGCTTTTCCACTGTCTGTCTCCACAGATGTAGTCAATTTGATTTCTGTGTTTCATCTGGCGAGGTCCATGTGTATAGATAGATGTCTTTTATGTTGTTTATAAAAAAGGTATTTGCAATGAAGAAGTCATTAGTCTTGCAATGTTCTATCATGCTATCTCCAGCATCGTTTCTATCACCAAGGCCATATTTTCCAACAACTGATCCTTCCTCTTTGTTTCCAACCTTTGCATTTCAATTACCAGTATTTGGTAATTATCAATACTTATTGATTGCATGCTTGATCAGTTTCAGACTGAAGATGGTGGTCGTGATGTGCTGTGGAGTTGGTTCTGACTCATAGTGATCCTGTACAGGGTTTCCTGAGGCTGTAAATCTTTAGGTGAGCAGAAAGCCTCATCTTTCTCCCATAGAACAGCTGGTAGTTTTGAATTGCTGACCTTTAGGTTTGCAGCCCGATTTGTAACCACACTACCAGAGCTTCTTGAAGAAGACGGTAGAATTCTTCAATTTTATTGTCACTAGCTTTAGTAGTTGGTGTGAACATTTGAATAATAGTGGTATCAAGTAGTCTTACTTGTAGGCATACGGATATTATCCTATCACAGACAGCATTACACTTCAAAATATTCTTTTTGATGATGAATATGATGCCATTCCTCTTCAATTTGTCATTCCCAGCATAGTAAAAAACTATATGATTGTCAGATTCAAAATGGCCAATGCCAGTCCATTTCT